TTGGTTGCTTATGCTACGCTCAAAATATGTCACCTCATAAAAATAAATTTTCTCCTCGTGCTATTAAAGGCATATTCATTGGTTATCCCTTTGCTTAACGAGGATATCGAATTTATGACCTACAGACTAATAAATATCTATTAGTCGTGATGCTACCTTTCATGAGACTGTGTTTCCTTTTCAGAGTACCACTCCTACTTATACTCCGCCACCTATTGTTTTACCTTTCCCTACTAGTGACATAAGTGTCAACCCTCCACAAACCATCAACCCTGAAAATCCAACACCTCCTTCTGACACATTTACTCCAGTACCGCATGTCTCTACTCCAGTACCAACTCATAAGTCCTCTCGTCCTCGCCGTCCTCCAGCTTATCTCCAGGACTATCATTGCTCTTTGACCACATCTCCTCACTTATTACCATTTCATTCTGCATCTCTTAGTTCAGATTGTGCACAATTGCAATATCTCCTTCAAAAATTTATTTATTATGATTCATTATCATCTAATCATTTTGCTTACACTGCTACTATTTCTGCTGAGGTTGAACCCACAACCTATGCTCAGGCTTCTCAGCATCCACAGTGGCGTCAGGCTATGGCTGCAGAAATTAATGCTCTTGAACGGAACAATACTTGGACACTCACTCATTTGCCTCATGGTAAATTTCCTATTAACTGTAAGTGGGTATACAAGGTTAAGCATCGTTCTGATGGTTCAATTGAGCGTTATAAGGCTCGTCTCATTGCCAAAGGATATACATAAATTGAAGGCCTTGATTATCACGAAACATTTGCTCCTGTTGCCAAATTAGTTACGGTGCGTTGTGTTCTGGCAGTTGCAGCAATGAAGCATTGGCCTTTGCATCAGCTTGATGTTAACAATGCTTTTTTACATGGTGATCTCCATGAAGAAGTATACATGAATCCTCCTCCCGGTTTCCATCGCAAGGGGGAGCATCTAGTATGTCGACTTCAAAAATCCATATATGGTCTCAAGCAAACAAGTCGAAATTGGTTTGAAAAATTTTCTTCCGCTCTTCGCCTTGCTGGGTTCACATAATCCCACTGTGATTACTCTTTGTTTACATCAACAAAAGGTTCCTCAATTATTGTTGTTCTAGTATATGTTGATGACATAATAGTCACAGGCAATGACGATCAAGCCATTAAATCTCTCAAAGAATTCCTACATAGTCGGTTTCATATTAAGGATCTTGGCTTATTAAAATATTTTTTGGGCATTAAAGTTGCTCGCTCAGCCAAAGGGATTTTTTTGTCTCAACGAAAATATGCTCTGGAAATTTTGCATGATGCTGGTGTCCTTGGTGCAAAGCCTGTTGATTTTTCTATGGTACAAAATCTAAAACTTACACCTGATAATGGTGATTTATTGAAGGACCCCAGCCAATATAGACGTCTAGTAGGTCGCCTTATCTATCTCACCATCACTAGGCCAGATATAGTTTACTCGATTCAAATTCTCAGTCAATTTATGTCCAGTCCTCGCCAACCCCATCTCGACGCCGCATATCGGGTTTTGGCTTATGTGAAATCTGCTCCTGGCAAGGGTATAATATTGCTTTCAGATCAATGCCTTCAACTTGAAGCCTACTGTGATTCTGATTGGGGTACTTGTGCAACCACCCGTCATTCCGTCACTGGTTATTGTGTTCTTCTTGGTAACAGTCCTATTTCATGTAAAAGCAAGAAACAGTCCACAGTTTCTAGATCCTCTGCTGAAGCAGAATATAGAGCAATGGCATCTGTTACATGTGAATTAATTTGGTTACAATGGCTTCTCAAAGATCTGGGTATTCTTCACAAACATCCTATGCGGTTATATTGTGATAACAAAGCAGCTCTTCATATAGCCGCCAATCCAGTTTTCCATGAGCGTACTAAGCATATCGAGTTGGATTGCCACCTCATTCGTGAAAAGATTCAAGCTGGACTGATCCAAACTTCTCATATCAGTTCTGCTAACCAAATAGCTTACATTTTCACTAAAGCTCTTGGGAAGGATCAATACCGACATCTATGTGGCAAGTTAGGCATTCATGCTCCAACTTGAGGGGGAGTGTTAAGATTCCGTGGATCAAAATATATTCAGGATCAAAATATATTCAACTTTCCCTTTTTATTTTTATTTAATAGTTGTATATATTCAACTTTTCTTTATTCATTTTATTTCCATAATGGTTTACTTTTCCTCCCCTATTTATTCAATTCTTCTGTATTGTAATAGACACAGATCAAAAAATAATATAAGGCAAAAAGTTATTAGCTTCACGCTATATTTCTTTGCTTAGTTGTTTTTATTATTTTACAGATACTACAAGGGATTATTGTCCGTTGTGTTTCTTCTCACAGAGAGGGAGTTAGAGCCCCAGACGGGGTGCCATACTTGGCTAGATATTGCTTTTCTAATAAAACCAAGACGCCTAGTGGACCACATTGTAAAGTAGATGTAATGTTGTATGAACAAATGTGCCTCTCCTACATATCAATCGCCACCCTTAAAATTTGTTGGTTGGAAGATGGAGATGAAGTGGAAATCACAATTAGACAAGAGGCAGGAGGAGGTTTATGGGTGAAGAGGTTTGGGGTTAGTCTGATTTACGAGGGTGATGAGAAGAATCCAAAGTCATATGATGCCTCGCGTCACTCGGTCACTACGACTTAGATATTATTCATCCTCCTTCAGATAACATTGGTGACGTAGATAAGGAAAATGAAGAATTTTTAAAGAAACTTAGTCACCAGGGAGATGAGATGAATCCGGACTCACATGATGCCTCACATCACTCGCTCACTACTGCGTTAGATATTATTCCTGCTCCTCCAGGTGACGTAGATAATGAAGAATTTATAAAAGAATCTGAAGAATTTATAGAGGACCTACTCTTAGAGGGTGCAACTTGGACCGGCCCAACGGATTATTGGGTTGGTTTTTTAATTTTATTTGTTTTGTTTTGTTTGTTTTTCGTTTTTTTTCAGAACATAGATGACCCATTTGAAGGCTTCTAGAGTGAGAGGTTGAGAGAAAGTGTGTACTTTAATAAAAAGAAGAATTTTTTTTTTTTTTTTTTTTTTTTTTTTGAATGGAATGAGAATTATATATATCAAGACTGGAGTGTAGTGACCTGACTTTCCTAAAATTACATTGCTGTGATGGATCCTACAAATAGTCAGCCGATTGTAGAAGTATCTTCTGTTAATGAAATGGAAATCCAACCATAAAAATTAACGACTCACTCTAAAAAGCATGAGAAAATGGCTCCAGAGTACTAATGAAGAAGCAACTACTTATTAACACAACTTTTTACATTCCTCAAAATTATTTTAAATGCTGATGATAACTTTTATTTTTTCCTTATTTTCTCTTTTAGTGTTGCAGAGTGCCTTACCAGACAAAAATTGTGTCCCTAAAAAGCCAAATTTATGCAGTATTAATAATATATTGATATAATTAATCCATCCCTTCACTTTGTTTTGTGCCCTAAAATTATATACCACTGATCAAGGGGGAAAAAATGTACAGCAACCATTCTGTATGTCAGTTTAGTAATGTAAATTATATGTGATAATCTTAAAGAACAAATAGTAAAAATATATGTCTGAAAGTCATCTTCACTCTTTTTAAACAGGTAGCTTTTGCAGCCTTCTATTAATGTTTATTGTAAATTTTGTTAAACCACAATTTGCAATAATACTAGTAGTGATTGTGAGATAAGAGTGTGGCATTGGCTTAATAGAAAAGAATTACATGTGGTAATACCACTCAAACTAACAGACTTGAATAGGATAATATAGGTTTTCTTTACCGCAAGGCTATTTTTAGCTACTGAAGTTGAAAATCCTTTATAATCGAGCAGTGGCGTGGGGCAGTTGCCCTCACTGAATTTTTAATCTTTTAAAATTTTGTATGGAAAGATTTTTATATTTGTATAATTATCTCCTCTAAAATTTAACAACACACGTATATATAAAATATATATAACCAAAAGGCTCTAAAGTGCATGTATAGATATATATAAAACCAAATGCTCATCCACGATTATCTATCAATTTATACTTTTTTAGAAAATATGATATTTTTTTCACTTTTCCAAAATATTATATTCTTTTCCACTTAAAAATAAAAATAAAAATAAAATAAAAAAATCATCAAGATATTCTATCATACTTTTGACTTTATCACAAACAAATAAATTGTTTCCATTACATCTTCGGTCTACAAACATTTTCCACAATCCAAACAAAGCAAGGGGAGTTACCAGTAGACAGAGACTCAATGCAGTGCGGTAAACAGGTAATCTGATATATTTTTTTTATCATCTAAATTTTACGATTTTTATTTGATATTATAATTTTAATTAGAAAAATAATTAGTTATTACTATCAAAATTATTTTAGGACTTAAATTTAGTTTGTGTAATTGTGTTATTAATTACTATTCTCTAAATAAAACTTCGAATTTTTTTTTAATTTATTTGCAGCCCAAATCAATGAAATCAAATATTCAACTCTATCAAATTTTCTGATGGAATGAATTATCTAGTTATAACTTATAAGGTTAGATTTGGTTATCATGATTTGTTATTTTAATTTTTCTACATATGTGATATATTAGAACAATTAGGTAATTGTCTTATTTTCTTTTTCATGTCTTATTTTTGATTCATTGAATATGAATTTTTTTTTTTAGTATATTTAATTAAATGAATTAAATTTTGAAACAACAATGAATAATGTAAAAAATCATTGTGAATGTACTGAATAGAAATATTATGAATCAATGTTTTAATTTTTACATATATTGTTTTGGTAAAAATTATATATATACACATTATTGCGTTAAATATTGCCCCCACTGAAGGAAATTCCTGACTACGCCACTGTAATCGAGTCCCACTCGACATAAAACATAAAAAATTATGAAGATATTTGCGTATGAATATCATACTATAATCTTTTAAATTACAATACAAGAGAAATGAGACCAAATAGCATCATCTATAACAAAATAGCATCTGTAGATAATCCAGAAGCCATACAAATTTTCACAGTTATTTCAAACAGAAATATAGAATGCCAAGTACAGAAGTACTAATAAGACTCCGAGAACTTCAATAAAGATACAATGGAGTTAGTGTACAGACAGTAATAGTAAACAGAGCATTGCAGTGTGGGAATGACATGAAAGTATACATTTTCATGTCATTATTTGACGAAAGAGAATTACTGATCCAGGTAATGTTGAAATGCTGATCCTTTAAACGAGACTGATCTGGGTAATGTTAAAATGCTGACACCAAGAAAAATCAAGGGAAACCACTGAAAGAGACCTCCGTGCCTTTTCCGCCAATCCCAGCAATCAGGCATTGGAATCCACAGGACTCTAGTTCAGCAATTACTTTATCCACTACTGTTTCTGATAATACTGATTCATATAGTCAAGGAAACCTTTGAAAGACAATCAAATTTCAAGCATATAGATATGAAAATTAATTTTCATGTGATCATGTTAGTCCAGATCTGAAAGCTTGTTAAAAAAAAAAAAAAAAAAAAAAAAAACATTTTATATTCCTCAAATTTATTTAAATTTTGATCACTTCAGTTTTCTTATTTTCCCTTTTAGCATTGCGGAGCATGTCTGGGCAAGAATTCTGCCCCTAAAGCCAAACCCCCTCTGCTAAAGCACTTCAAATTGGATGTCCATGGAATTCCTATGAGCTCAATTCACCAAATTTCTGCAAGTCCTATTTAATCCAAACCTTACTGCAATAACATATTGATCTAATTAAAATCCGTATCTTCACTTTGTTTTGTGCACTAAAATTCTACAGCACTAGTCGGGGGGGAAAAAAAATGTAGTGTGTCCCATTCTATATGTTAGTTTAGTAACATAGATTATGATCTTATTTTTAAAGATAAAATGAGGAAGGGTGAAAATTTTAGTCAACGAATAATTTGCAGTTCACATAATCATTGTATTTAACATGTAATGCTCAAATCATCTTCATACTCTGGATTTCCAATACCAAAGGCTCTGCTAGTTTTTTAAGTTCTAAAAGACACCTACTCTAAATTTTTCATCTTTTATTCTTCTCATTTTTCTGATAGAACTCTTGACCTCCTCATCTTCGTACACTATTCTTCCTCTCTCCTTACAATTTCTCCATCCCTGAGTTTGTTGAACATTTCTATCTATACATCCAGCCAAAAGGTTTAGCATATGACTGTAAAACCAAATACAACAATTTCTAAAGATCTCCAAATTAGTTAAGACTTTACGCTTTATCTAATAACTTCCCTAATCTTATATGCCTTACCTTCTGGTTGTGTAGGTTACAATGCTACAATCAAATAAGTAATGTAACTAAAATAAAAGGGCAAACCTAATGAACAAGTCTCTCGCCATTGCGGGGTCTGGGGAGGGTCAGATGTAGGCAATTTAACTAAAATGACAATGCTAAATGTATCCACAAATCACATTATGCATGGCCAACCCATTAAGTCAAATGCACGTAACACCACCGTTTAACTTTTAGATCCCCTCTAGTTACAAAGTGGAGACTTCAATCAAACATATTAAAGGAAATTTGAACTCATTCATGGTGAAATACTTCGATCAAACATATTAATCTCCCGCTATGTTTGATTACAGATAAGACACCATCAACCAGTCAAAGTGGATATTTGGGAAAACTTCATATCTGCCTAACAAGCCTACTGAGGCAACAACTGGTTCTAACAGCCATGACTAAAATGAAATGTAAATGAGGGCAAAAAGGGCGAGAAAGCATAACCATGTAAAATAAGGTGCACCTAAATAATTTAAAAGCATGCCACTTAACCAGAATCATAGGATATTCAAAATATGGAAGATAGAATTTTAAAATAAAAAATAATAATAATAAAACAATAGAATGAAGGCACAGTTAAAAATCAGAATAATGAAATGGATACGGGTCGGTAATAATGTCAAAACACAACCTCCACCACCAGCTCCTGTCAGCTTGGTAACTAATTTGTATTTCAACGTTGTTCGAAGCACAGTTTCTATTGAAGAATGGCTGACCCCCATACATTGAAGCAATCCTTGGTTCATTTCCATTAATTCTTCTAATTTCTCTTCCTTCTCAGTTATAGCAAGGTCGTCAAGAACAGGAGACTGGATAATAGTAGCCAGTTCATTGCTAATAGAATCAACAGCAGTAAATACAGCTGCCATAGCTTTTGGATGCCTGAGAGTCCTCTCTGAAACACCAGCAACTAATGCCTTTGTATTCCTCCCAACTTTGGTGTTAGTTATGAGCATTTTGAGTGGCATATTGGACTTGATCCGTGTCAAATCACCTGGCCTGAACTTGATCATATTACCTGTTAAATGGAATTTCATTAATTGCATATATATCTGAATTCTGAAGCCCACTTGCATTAGTAAGCTTTAAAAAAAAAAAGGTATCAACAAATCATGTTCAGAAGCTATTTCTCAGCCAATTAGGTCAGGTCAGTTGACTATATCAGAATTAAAATAGATGAAATTTTGCGTCGCGAGGAACTTTTGAATTTGTACTGAAATTTTCAAATATTTAGGGAACTTCTTATCTATTAACTGTAGTTAATTAAGTTGCATTTGGAAATTACTATACAAGATCACATACCATATGTGCTTACTGTGTTGTCTATACCAGAAGGCCTCCCATGGATTATTTTTTCACCTTCGAAAGCCCATTTGTTCACCAATTCCAGATCGCTCTCTCCAAACATTAACCAACCTTGATGGCTGAAATCAAGATTTACAGAATCTGACAAAGCGAGCAGGGCAGCTGAGAGTGACACACAAAGTGCAGCAGATGAACCCAAGCCTGAGCCCAATGGGAGCTCAGAGGTGATAACTACCTTTGCAGGTTTACACCTGATAAATAAAAGGAACTAAATCAGTAATTTTGAAAAATTAGGAAAGAAAGGTTATAAAGTAGATTCAAATATTGATTAAACACCTTTGGATAGAGGTGTATAGCCAGAGAAAAGCTGAAACACCAGCAGCCAGCCCAGTTTCTGCCTCTGGAATATTCTGTTCTTCAACTAGAGCTGCAATTGATTTCATAGTCTCCGGTGGGCATGATGTGGGTGATGAAGCAAGGCAACTATCCAAGTCAGGGAGCGCTTGTTTAATTCTTCCAACCGGCCATGAAAATTCTAGGGACAAATCTTTGAGTTCGAGTTTCAGTGTATCGTCATTTCCTGCTCAAAAATATATATATATAAAAGAACAATATAAAACCCCAACATCAACGAACCACAACAAGTATTACTAAAAGAGAAGAGAATAGATAACTAAATGTTACTCTAGTTTCCTTTCAAAAAATAATTTTGTTGAAATTTGAGTTATAGCACTTTCCCCAAGGGCAAAGTTATTGTGAGAACACCCTATGGGAAAAGTTTCTTGAAATGACTCGATCAAAGATGAAGAGAATAAACTCTCAAAAACTATGGAATTGTAAATTAGGCCATTCAAATTTAGGGGGCACCCAAATCCCACAAGTATACGTATATCCCAAAAACTATATTTACATTCGATTGTTTTGAAGAACATATTTTAGAACTTCACTGAAATTCAAGGACTTCAGTCACTTAATACTACTAAAGATCCTTAAAAGTATCGATTCTTTAATATTTATGGAACATAAAACACAAGTTCTTCCCAAAGAGGTCATTAACGGTTGTCATGAGGTTTATTCTACTTCAATCTAAGGCAGATACCAAATGCTATGATACAAAACCCCACCTTGTGCTGCATTTTCTAGAGGTTATGTTCGTTTAATTGGTATATAGTTCCAAAACAAAGTTTTCTAGAATTTTATTCTCTACCAAATGCGTTAAAAGGAAAATTAAATCATAGACTCTTTCTAAGAATTTTTTTTCCCAGTCTATCAAACAAACAGTAATCATTGGTACATTTTTCCAAATTCATCACCTCATAAGCACCTACAATGGTTAATTAACACACAAATACATACTCAAGTAGCAAAAGCAAGCAACAATTGAGAAATGATCAAATAAACAGCAACAATTACCAAAAGTTTCAAAATCGAATCACAACAACAAACAAGTAAAATCACAAAATTTAGAGCTTAGTGAAAGATTTGGTTAAAAGGGTATCCAGAAATCACACTTTTGACCAATCAATCCCATCAAAGGATTCACACGTATGAAGGAAATCAAACAACAATAAGCACAGAAAAAATTGGAGTGACTTAGAACATAAAGTACAGAGATGAAATGTTAGTTTCTTTGGGCGCACCAGAAGCAGTGGGAAAGCGAAGGGAGACGTAAGTGTAGAGATTGATGGAGGCAGCGACGGCCGTTGATCCGTGAACGACGGCGTGTTCTCCGGCGAGTATGATCTTTCCGGGAGCTCTTGCTTTCACCTCCATACTCTCTCTTGTTTGCTCTGCTAGTTGACCTCTCTCTCAGATTTGGTGTGTATATATATAATAGAGAGAGTCGTATATAACTGCGGATGGGCGGAGAGAGAATAGAAATTCTTAATTTTGTTTGTTTCAATCCAGTATTAATAATGCTTTGGGTCACAGAGAAGTAAAGCAACGTCACTGTCAGAAATCTTTATTATAAATAAATAAATAAATAAAGGAGAAGAAAAAGGCTTTAAAGGATAAATAGTTTTGGTAAATAAAAAATAGCTTGTGCTTCTAAAGTAAATCGGAAATTTGTTTGAATAATTTTTTTTTTTTTCAAATTTGTCAAATGAAAATAGATAGACTAATTTTTTAAAAAAACAAATAAATCTTTTGAATTTTTAGAATTCTTGAAAACTAATTGGACTTAGTTTTTGTTGGTTTGTTTGTTATACTAAAGCAGTGTTTGGTTTTAAATTAGAGACATGTTCCATGAAAAAAATTTGGTAACATTTTTCAGATACGATGGTTACCAATTAGACAATTATTCTTAAACATCAAATCTAAACATGATGATGTTGAAAAATGGCATCTTATTGAAGTTGAAAAATGGTATCTACTGCCTTCCGAAAAAGAAAAAAAAAATGGTACTCAGAGATGCAACTTGATTGGTTGATAATTGGTTGTACGAAATTTTTGTTATTGTAAAAATATATTGCACTTGTTGTTTCGCACAATCGAACACTTTTTAACATTAAAATTACTTGATTATAAAATTAATACTCTGTATCTTACAGAAGGATTATATATATATATATATATAATTAAACTAATGAGTGGAATATGTGAGGACGGTGGATATTGTGTGTGTGTGTTTTTTTTTTTTTTTTTTTTTTCTGACAAAACATGTTTTTAACGTTTAAAGTGTGAATGTTTGACAAATAAAAAGAAAATTGAACCAAAAAAAAAAAAACGTCATATATGCAAATACGCCTGCCAACCTCGTCGGCGATTGACCTTGGTGGGCTCACCTACTACTTATCCATAATATTATTATAATGGTCCTAACATCTAATTGGTTGTAAGGACCGGTCTCATGTTATAATATTTTCAAAATATAAATAAATAAATATACCATATGGATTGGACTAGGACCTTAAAAGGGCTTGTCTCAATCCTCGGCCCTCCAAGTATGACTTCAACAGTTCAATAAAATGGAAGCCCACCAACCTCTCATTATCATTGATTCATTGTTATTAAATATTATTAATTTTAATTGTGAATTCTTACTATGACTTATTAGTCTTTGTCCATAGTCTTCAGTGTGAGTGTCAAATGAAAATGGCCACTTTGATGACTCTTTTGCCTTTGTTCTTAATGGTGTCAATTATTATGGTTGCAAATGAGTAGAGTCGAGTTTGTGAAAGTTCAACAACTTCACTCTTATCATTATTTATATATATATATATATATATTTTTAAAAGTACATGAATCAAAAATTGATTTTTCCTTTTATTTATTTTATTTTTGGGGGGATGGAGATTCTTGTTCAAAGAGAGGGTGCTTGGAATAGCCACTTTCTCTGAAAGAAAATAGCAATATATTACTTCAATATAATTTCATAAGACTGAATCTGAAATGCTAAGTTCCCTTGACAATTGTGTCCCCCATTAAGTCCTTTTCAGGGTAGGTGACATGGTAATTGTTTAAAGAAAAAGTCTTTTTATTCAACTTATTTCTTAGCCCACAGTCATTGACACCAACAAGTTTAGTTGACCACAATCCTTTATAATAACTTGTCATGTTACATGACCACTGTGCTTGTTTGTTTCCATGGAAAATATGACTTTTTCTTCCTTTGCTTTACAGAACACTTGGGGACTACATTTTCCAGGACGCAGGATGAAAAAATCAATTCTTTTTCACCCCATGTCATGCATACTTTATAGTACAGTGACTCACCGTTGATAGCCATTTCCTATCCAAAGGGGATGTTTAGGATTCATGCTCCAGTGGGGACATCTGTGTATGTATAGATTTACTTTTATATATATATATATATAAACTCCACTGATGGAATCACAATATAATAGTAGCAAATTGCCGGGGAAAAAAAACAGAGCAATTGGTCTTGTTTAACACAAACTCTGCTTCCTGATTCCAGTTCCTACAAGACAGTTAAAATTACAGTCATCATCATCCTTGCCTTTATCCCGGGCCGGCCACAGTTAAAATACAGTATAACATGATCTAAAATCATAATTTTATAAAGCATACAGTGGCACCTATCAGACATGGCCATGTTCGACACAAGGAAAATGATGTAAAATCATAATTTTTGCCTGTATGGAACAGATATGAAAAAGTGTTTGGGCTCTGAGAGATTGTGATGAGGTTCTAGATTTAAACTCATGTTTTTCTCAGCAACCAAACATGGCATTAGTGACTTTGAATGTTCTATGCCTAAATTAGCTCCCTAGTCACTAACTGAGGAAAAATGTTTACATGTACAATTATACAAAGTTGTAATCATCATATTATAAAATGTGCAATCGTTAGCACTTAGCAGCTTTAGTTTGCAGCAATAATCAGGTCCCAAGTCAGATTATTGCGAGTGCTTTTTCATCTCAAATGTTGAATTTGAAACTCTTATCAGTCAAAGACTTGTCAAGTTCATATCCGCCAATGAAATAATATTATATCAATTGAACACTGAAATAGCAACCAAATTAAAGATCTTTTGGCCTCAGAACCAATTCCATTTAGCTGGAGTTATATGGTTCTGCATAAGGCAGCGTGGAAATAAAACCAATGCAGTGTTGGCCTACTTAAATGAAAGAAATGATGAAGATAATGGTGTGAAGGAGCAATAAAATGTAAAACATGGAAGGAAAAAAAACAAAAAACTTTGCCAATCTTAATTTCTTGTAGCAAGATGCGGAACTTACAAATATACATAATGACGATGCCAAATTTAGTAATTCAATTCTCAGCAATTTCGACCTGTTCTTTGAGAGTGCCATATAGTGTCTCAACAACATTCAGTAGGAACCCATCCGAACCGTGTTTTGCCAACAAGGAAACGGCCACAGGAAGATTATCATACATCCCTAATGGTATGCTCACCTGTAGATTGAACAATTTTCAGAAGCGGTTAATTACTGCTTTTATGGTAATCAACTATGGAGTAGAGAGAGAGAGACAGAGAGCAGCGAAGTACTACTTTTATGGTAATCAAGTATGGAGAGAGAGAGAACCTGGCAAAATCCAGATACTCCAGCAATGGACAACAAGCTAAAAGCCCGGGTACGATATGTTTCCAGGGTAGTTGCCTCTGTTTGTAGTTTTGGCGGGGGACTAGCAACTGTAGGTATTGCGAGGATGCCAAAATCCTATATGATTATATTCCAAAAAGCATACCAAGGGGTAAAATTTAGAACAAATGACTCATTAAGTTGTGCTTTACATTTTCGTACTTCAATCAAGTTGTAAGAGTATGGACAGTAATATTAGAAAAAGAAAAAAGAACATTCAGGGCAGTGACGATATGTTTATTAAACCATTCACAGAAACTTGAAAATTTTAGGGAAGAAAATCAATGACAAATCGAATCATCTCATTCACTTTCAAATCACAGCGATTATGATTAACTGTATGAAGAGGACAAATATTCCACTGCAGAAGTTATAACCTATGATATAATCTCTACTTCTATGCATAAATCTCATCTTTAATAACCTCGCGAAGGAGGTGCCTTCTTTTGTAAGACTACTCTGGTGTCTAGACACCAATGGTAGGTAGCTTAAACATGATAAGGTGGAACGTCGAAGTCCAATTTTGGATAAATGGGTGTTTCTTGCACTTATTCAATAAAAAAATAAAAATAAAAAATAAAAAATAAAAAAGATATGGTGTTCAGATTAGCAGCATAGAAAAACAGGCGATTCTACATATATATACATAAGATTCTTGAGAAGACAATCAAATGGCAAAATAGAAAGCACTAGCAACGAACAATATAAGGAAAAGCCAAACCTGAAACTCCTAATTATATTTTCACTACATAATGAATAGGAAATCTGTCTTTCCTAATATTGATACTCTGCTACAGAATGTCCAATATTAGCCACAGCATCCACAACTACATTGGCCTCTTGTTACCCATAAGCTCAAACCAACTTTAAAAAATGAAACCCAGAATTCCATCTTAAAATGTGAAATTACTTCAAAATTAAAGTTTTTATCTTCTGAGACATTACTAGAGAGAGAGAGAGAGAGTACCCCTAGGAGATCAGCGAGAGCAGCACGCAATTCAGTCTTCACAGTGTAGCAGACATCAATATGCGCGTCTGTTGTCCTAACGGCTTCCCATACCCTGTCGGCTATTCCTGGACCTAAATCAGGTTTTACCGTACTGACCCATTCACCATGATTATTTTTGAATTCATTCCTACACTTGAAAAGGTAATTGATTTAGAAGTCAACATGAGAAGAAAAAGCATCTTGTTAGACGCTAAGACTGACTAATATATATATATATATATATATATATATCATACAAGCCAAAAGCTTAATCAGCATAACATCCAAGCCAATTAAAAATTTTGTTCTATTATCTGCACCTTTGAAGCAACCTCGTGGCATTTGAAAGAGCTACCAGGGATGGTATATTATAATCTTGAGTTTCAGTTCCTTCAAAATGCTTCAAACTTGGAACTTTGTCCTTAACATAATTCCCAAGATTTGCATATTTTACCATATGACCTGTGCCACAAACGAAGTAAGGTAGATCCACAAATATTGAATATGCATTTGAGATGAGTCTATCTTATATAGCATACTACCAGGGGGAAAAAGGGGGTTAACTTCTTAGCAATTGCTATCACTGTTTACCTTTTCCTTTTATAAGATTCACATACTCCTATATTAATGTCATTCTTAAAGGTGGGTTGGTGTACAAACATGTAATGGAAAAAATAAATATCAATATCAGATAATTCAGGAAAAAAGAAATCGATATCAGATAATTGTTTCTATCTGGTGCATAAACTCCGAATGTCAACTGGCAGCACAATGATAAAATCAACCACTTACCCCCATATAACTTCTCAACTGATTGCACAAGAACCTTAGTCACACGGTCAATTGGAATGCTTAGAAGCTTGAAACAATCTTCCGGAATAATAATATGACTAGGTTTCACAGGATCCAGGACAGGAAATTGTAATAGTACCCGTCCAACTCGATTCAGGATCACAGGATCCCTAGCAAACCACCCTGGAAAAGAACTGCTGTGTTAAAAAGAATGACTTGAAACTTAAAATTATAAAGCTTCATGTCACCACAACTGTGTGTGTGTGTGTGTGTCAGAGAGAGGTATTGCTGGATAGTGACTGTAGCATTCCTCCACTTGATATAGTCTAAATTTAGTTAGTCCAGTAAGCCTCCAGGCAGCCAAAATGTTTGAAAAATATATTATTGTTCTTCCTGCTAGATTTAAAAGTAACCCTTTTCAAAAAAAAAAAAAATAAAGAAAGAAAAAAGAAAAGGAAAATCCACCCATTCGACCTGTTAAATTACAATTTTTACAAGAAAGGTTCACTTTTTCAGTTCCAAGATATTTGAATATTTTTCAACCATTGCACCTAAATGAACATTAAATGGCTCATATATTGCATATAGGCTTTTCTAGGCAGAGCTGAATTCCCACTAAATAAAAAAAAAAAAATTGTAAAAGCCATGCAGCTGATTATAATTTCACCATCCAGATGGTTCCTCACCTACTGTGTCAAAACTCTGTGCCATAGGAATAACTCCAGTAGTTGAAACAGCACCATGAGAAGGGCGAAACCCCAAAATCCCACAGAATGCTGCAGGAACTCTTACACTTCCTCCAGTGTCAGTACCTGCAATAGATGGGACCTTTTTGTTCAATTACAGAAGGATCTACTAAAAACCACCAAAGTTATCCAGTAATGAAAACCCTCACCCAGGGAGAAATCTGCAAGCATTGCACCGACTGCAACTGCAGATCCACTAGAAGATCCTCCAGGGATACGATCTGGTGCACATGGATTGATTGGTGTCCCGTAATGTTTGTTTTCTCCATTTATACTGCAAAATGAAAATAAACTTCTTTATTTAACTTACAAGAATATGCAAGAAGAACTGGGCGAGGGCCTAAAGCACCTCATAAGCTGCTGGAATCCCAATTTGAATGCACAAAAAGCAATATTTGGAATGGATTAAGAAAACAATTGAGGTCACTACAAAGAAGCAAAGGACAATTCAAAATCAAGTGATCCCTTTCATAAGAATCTTAAACAGAATTCAGTTTTACCAGATGCAAGCTTGATCAAATGATCATTAGATGCTATTGAAGGAAAAAAGAAAAAAGATCCATTTAGATAATGAATAGGAAAAAAAACCAAGAGCATAACAAATAGAAAAATGGCACTGCTTCAATTTCATGTAAAAATTCTAAATGCCTCTCCGTTAAGTGCCATTATCTTGTTCTATCAGTGTCATTTTTTTTTTTGTTTTTTTGTTTTTTTTTTTTTTTTTGTGCACTCTGCGTAAGATGTAGACTCCATCAGATACATATCCAAATTAGAACACCTTGTAGGTGGGGGTTTGGCAAGGACCTGAATCATTTTTTTTAAAGAAAATCACTAATGAAAGAGCAAACAGGAACTATTGGGCTACAAAATAATAATAATAATAATAATAAAAAAAATGAGGAATTTAAAACAAGCAAAAACTATTTCTCAACTGCACTGTAATTCACTTTTCAACCCTTGCTTGAGTAGTTGAGTTTTCCACTAATTTCTTCCAATTTTTCTTGCAAATCATAGGCTCAGAATTTTCATATTAATAATATTCTTTGGAGTTGTCAAAATCATCATTCTCATGATTTTTGTCAGCCATATCGGCAACGAATATGTCATATTAAGGTCGAAATCCAAAACAACCTTGATCCTGCCTGTGATTTATTTGGGCAGATCATCCTCTACTTCTTATGCTATCATTATCAGAACAGAGAGAACCTGAATTGTTGATCACTTATAGGTATGGCAGTTCTCATATCTTCTAATCTAACCTAAATCAACTCCAATGACTCATGGCTTGTAAGATGCAAAAACATGACCAGCATATTTAGGAATCACTACATGATTCTCCATCCTTATACATTTTCTCTTGATCAAAATTTCTGTTCTATGTTAGTCAGCCACGAGTATGATCCCCATTTGGTTGTGTTTTGGGCAATTTCTCAAACCCTGGCGAACTTTCTAACCCATTCTCCTGTACATTGATTCTCCTCATTTTCATCATGATTATGATCTTCCACAACCACAAAATTTAATTTAGATTAACTTTAACAACTGTCCCCAACCTTATGTTCACAATTTTCTAAACAAACATTGAAACAACTTGGTGGGAGGAAAAAAAAAACAGAAAATAAATTAAAAATTAGTATGAATTACTAAAATACATTTGCATCTATAGTGATTATCAATAATATCGGTTAGGGTAAAAGGCCATTATCAAATTCGAGTTTCACCTCTTCAGGGTGTTTGGAGGGGTGAATTGCATTTAAACCTAAACTCCAGCATTATTTAGCAAAAAGTGATTGCTAAAACTGAATCCCGCTTTCCTTTGCAGAACGAGCATTTACCAATGTACTCATCTCTCATATGCCTTTTAAGGAGATTTTGGAAGTTCAAACTTCAAAGTAGATTCATTAGCTATAAAAAAATATGATCAGATTGTGTTCAATATATTAAAATTAATAATCGATAAAAATTAATTTGTGACAGTTTTTGAAGGTTGTGAAATTTGTCACACTAGTCATATATAAACACAAACTTCAGAATGCACAATAATGTTATCCAAATGCCCCATCAAACAAGATTATAAGTTCTTAAGAAAAAGGGAATGTAACAAAATTGGGTCTTTGACCCTAACCTCTTTGCCATTTCATCCATTACAGTTTTTCCCACACATGTGGCACCTCCACTTAAGACGGCCAACACTGCCGGAGCTGTTGTCGTAGCAGCCTCATGAGTCCGTGCCCAATCCGGATTTCCGAACCCAGTCACATATCCATCCACATCAAATCTGCTTCCAAAGTTCACATTAAAATAGATAACACACATAAATTAACTACACACAAATATTAAAACCAATGAATGAAATTTATATATGAGCAGAAACCGAAAAAAAGGGGTTAACCCACTTCATATCTTTTCATTCCTAACAGGAACAGATAAAATAAAATAAAATAAAATAAAATAAGTGGAAAAGATTGATAATCTTCAAATATTGTAAGAAAAAATAGTTCAATCATGCTAAATGAGATTATTATTACATGTATAGTTCATATATTCGTAATCTAAAAAAGAAAAGGAGTACCCATTTCGTGATATTGGTGTATGAGCTTGGAATCATACAGAAAAAATGATTATAGTGAGATCCAAAAAAATTAAACAGTGCAATTATGAGATAAATCACAGAATTGAATTAATTGAATCATATAATTTGATAAGAGCTGAAAATGAAGTAACTCACATATCTTTAACGGCAAAGGTGAGGCCATTCAATGGAAGCTCCTGAGATGAAGAGCTTGGTTGGAGAATCAATTTCTCCATGAAAGCTCCATAATCAGAGTCCATTGCCATCCCTCTCTCGCTCCTCTCTCTATTTTATCTCTCTAAGCTTTTCCACTCCTCTTTAGTGTTAAACGGATAAAGTGATATTACTAAAGTCAAGGAACTGAACGAAGCAACCATACGACACTCAATTTTTATGTTTTTTTTTGTTTGGTGGTGGCTATGGTTATTTAATTCAACATGGCCTTGGAAACATCATTTAACTTCAGAATTTAGGAGTCGCGGTATTCGTATTGGCGGTGTTTGTATCGTGTAGTATAAGTATATTGTTATATGGATCCATACAAATACGGTATGATTATCTTTTATATCAAGGAAATTTAACAAAAACGTGACACCATTATTATAAGAATAATACAATATTACATAAATAAGTCAAGACTTGATAGTGATATAACACATTGAACATAAAAAGACAATTATTTTTTATATGAACGTGATATATTTATTCAACACGTTTAAGGGTTATTTTTATATGATACATTTAATTAATCTAGTTATAAATAAATTGAAGGGTTATTTTTATATGATACATTTAATTAATTTAGTTATAAATAAATTGATAAGTTAAATAGACCACGTTTAATTATCATGTTAATTCGAATCGATATAATTAAGTGATTAAGCGAACTTACATTCGGGATGGAATCATGTTAGCTGTCAAATATTACATGTTCTTCAGATACAAACTGATCTCTATTGGCAATTTTGACCCTATATGATAATATGATTCAATAATTTGCTTTCTATTGCCAAATCCTCGTTCTCTACAAAGATAGGATTGGATAAAATTGAATCGCATCCACGGAGAAAAAGAAAGGGATGTACCGGACCACCGGTAGCAGCAGTTAAAAAAAAATTTAAAAATAAAAATAAAAATTAGATATGATTAATCCAAAGCAATAATATAGAAAATGCGGACACATTTATTTTATTATTTTTTTAGTCATGAGGTACAGATACATGTTGACAAATCTAATGTCTTAAATTTTGATTTTGAATTTTTTATCTGGTTATACACTATTTGAAACACTTTTATTAAAATCTAACGAAAATTAAAAATCAGACCTAGACCGTTGTAGAATAATAAAAATAAAAAATATATATTATACCTAAAAAATGAAACCTCTGGTCTGGGTTTAGGTTGGTATTGTATTTTGGGCCTCAAGTGGGCATTCACTAATTTAAAACTTAGGCTCGTGATATTTTTCTCAGAAACAAAAGAAGTAAGCCCAACCCAATTAAAGCTAATCTCTTAATTTTTATTTTTTGTATTTTTTTCTTTTGGTTTTGTCTGATTGTACATGGTTTGAAATATTTCACAACTGAGTAATTTTAAACTTCTCTTAATGCTGTTCTTTGAATATTGTGATTTTAGAGTAATTTTAACATATATTATGAGTTAATTAAATAAATAATATAAAATTTTAAAAACAAAAAATAAACTTTTAACTTTAAGTTTCAAATTAGTAATTTAATTCATGATAACACCAATCAAATGAGAAAATATTAATTTTTAAAATATAATTTTTTTAGGTATCCCTATCATAATTCTGTCATTTTTTTTTTTTTTAGATTTTGTCTTATTGTGTGTCCATATTGTATTGTACTTTTATTTTAGGAGTGGCCACGGATCGGATCGGATCGGATCGGATTAGGCATCATTCCTAATCCGATCCGCTCACAACGGATTGGAGAATTTTGAATCCGCCATCAATCCGTTAGTCCAGGGATCGGATCGGATCCAATCCGCGGACTAAATTTTCTAAATTAGTCTATTTTTAATTTTTTACCAATTTGATATTTAATTACAGAAGTGTAAAATAGAACATAGATTAACCCAATTTAAATGCATAATAACACGAATAATCAAATTATAAAATATTGCATAACCAAGAGGATAATAGTTATCCAAATTATCCGAAAAACCAGTAAGACTATGCCAATATTACATAACAGTAGCAGTGATGCCAGTGAAGTGAAATAAAAAAAGGAGAGCAAAAGTAGCAGTGAAGTGAAAAAAAAAAAAAAAAAAAGGAAGTAGCATACTAGCAGTGCAGTGAAAAAAAAAGGAGTTGCAGAACAATCTCCATGAATCTCCTCAAACCGTAGACTATCAGTAAATACTTACCCAAAAAAATAAAAAATAAAAAACGTCAGGTATGTGGCATACGGATTGCCACGAATAGAGTTGCTATATACTAATATTATATTATATATATATATATATATATATATATTTATATATATATATATATATATTACGGATTACCCACGGATTGCCACGGATCGGATCGAATTTTTGACTGCCTAATCCGTGATCCGATCCGTAGACTACGGATTCAATTTTTTAGAATCTGTCACCGATCTGTGGGTCTGGTAATCCTATCCGATCCGTACAGATCGGATCAGGTTCGCGGATTGGCAGATTTTTTGCCCACCCCTATTTTATTCCATATCAGATCTGTGCTTTCTCAAATGACAATGTATCAAAATTTCAACTTACGGAAAATTTAAGGACTTTTGTAATAAATGACTAGTGAGTATTTAAATTTTGTATTTTATTTACAAGAAACACAAACACCACTTTATTGTTTTGGAGACTCTGAATTTTTAATATCCACTTTGGAAGGTAAAAGAAATGCTGGTTACAAAAGTCTTGATAATTATTTAAAAATACATTTAGACTGCGTTTGGTTGCATGAAATTGAAGATTTGAAATTGAAATTTGTGGAATTGGAAAAAAGTAACTCTCAAATTTGAACTAAAATTTTCTCTAATTTTATCAATTCTAATTCCAAGACTCTAATTCTATTAAGATGAACTAAGCCTAAGTGTATTTCTAAATCGATGGCTTAAAAGTAAAATTAGAAGAAATTTTGTTTAAACTTTGGACTAATTTTCTACTATTCGAATTACAATGCACCAACTCCATACTCCCGTACATAACTTTGATGTCTTTGATATCACTCCACCAACTAAGATCATCAAAATCTATGGTTAATATGTGGACCAACGGAAACTAAGACTGTTCATGATTATAAGGGAACAGATCATCGCCTTTAATTAAAACTGAATTTGCTAATTGGTCTAAGTAATTGGGGCACGTTGTCACGAAGTGATTCCTAAGACGCTTGGAGTATGGAAGACACGCATGCTGGTTGGCAAAGAGCAGAGTTTGACTGGGAATGGTTCCAGGGAAGGGGCGTGCAGGAGCACAGGATGGTACCTCTTCAGAGTTCAGGCAGGTCGACTCGGTTCAGTTCGAGGTGCTTGTCGCTGGTCGTGGACTTGACTATGAAGAAGGGAGTTGGCCATCCCTGCACAAACTGGTCGGGAGCTGGAGCCGTTCCCCTGACGAGGCCATGGCAGGCCGAAACCAGTCAGCATGTATCCTTGGGAGGGCAGGTCGTGGTGGCTGACCAGGGCGCTTGCGCGAGCTGAAGCAACGCCTTGGTGCCGCACGGGCCGTGCCGCTGCGCCAAATCTCTAGGCCCGTGACAACGTGCCTAGCTAGATGTGCTCCTTTCTACAAAGAATTACCAATAGATTACTGTAACAAGGGTCATTTTGTCCCACATCGGAATCGAATGGGAAAAAGATTGGGTATAAATGGGTGGGTATGCAGCCTTACCTAACAGTTCGAGCTTTTGGGTAAATGGGCAAGTACCCACCCGTTACAGTTGGTATCAGAGCCAAACCTAATCCTTGATCCGGTGCCACGCCAAGCGCCCGTCTCGGAAGGCGTCCGGGTGAGTCCACCCGGGTAGGCAGGGTGGCCCAACCGCAACGAGGGCGTTGCGAGTTTGGGTGGGGGAGAATGTAACAAGGGTTATTTTGTCCCACATCGGAATCGGATGGGAAAGAGATTGGGTATAAATGAGTGGGTATGCAGCCTTACCTAACAGTTCGAGCTTTTGGGTAAATGGATAAGTGCCCACCCGTTACAATTACTCACTAGGTTGATCCTGATTTTCTCTAACTAAAACCGAACTCTTTTTGAGTTTCATTAAACAAACAGAAATGCATATAAAGGCTCTCATAAAAAAATTACAAAGTATGATAAATGAACTGAGCATTTGATGAACAATTCGGGTTTGATTTCACAAACGCTTAGTTTGTGTTCGTTTGTTTAGTTCAAACAAAAATCTTATATTTATTTATTAATCTAATCAAGCTCAAACATTTCTCTACCCGGCTTGTTTGTTGGGAGTCGTTTTGAAATCGTGAAAATGATAAATAATGTAGTTAAAATTTTAAGTATAAGCTTACCCTATGAGCTCTAGGCTCAATAAATCATTTTATTAACATGTAAAATACAGCCCAACCCAGCTAATATAATGTGTTTTTATCACTTTTAAAATAAGTGCTAAAGCCCATTTACCCAACTCCATTTTGTATTCTGTACAGTAAAACTTTGGGCTGGTTGGGCCTGCTTTTTTTGCTTTTGGGCTTCCGATGGTTTGCCCTTTTGAATTAGGGAAAATTACAGTAAAAAAAAAAACCCTCTTATTCTGATATTGGAGTCCAAAATCACCACCAACAAACATCCATCCATCCTTAATTGGGTGGTTTGGTTTGCAAAATAGATCATATCAGATTAATATTGCAAACCAGAAACTTTACAAACCCAAAATATTAATATTGCACAAGAAATAGTAATTAAGGCCGCTGATTATTTTATATACTATATATAAATATTTAAAGCAAGGAAGATGTAATTAATGCGTTTTTTTCTATTTTATTGGAACTATGAAATTTCAATTTATAGGACCAAATTACCCTTTTATATTATTTCCTCTTTCTTTCTTTTGTTTGTTACATATATTTTAACCATATGTTCACTTGGATGGATTTTTTATTGGAAAATTTGAAGTAATATTATAAAATTTGAGTTTTAATTAATATGTGAAACAAATAAATCAATAAATATGACAAATACGAATTATAATTTTTTAAAATCAAAAGGCAATCAAGAAAAAAATAGTTGTAAAATAATATGCTAAATACGTAGTGTAAAAAAAATATAGTTACAAATATAAGAATCAAAAGATTAATTAATAATATTTTAATTAAATACAATCACAAATGTTATCGATAAAAAGAAATAAGTGAAAAAATAGAAAAATACATAATT